CAACTTGGTGCATATTTTAGGAAATATTGCATATTTGTGCATTTTTTCTTCAAATCACTAATTTCCGATTAAAAATTTCAGTTCAAGTTAAAAATTGGACAGTTTAAGGAAAATGATCCGATTACAAAATATTATAAAGAGAAAACAACCGGTAATTCGTAAGCCAAACTCAAAAAATTAGTAAGTATCCTGCTGAGTGTTTCCTTTTTAAATTCGTTTTATACTGGGTGAATATAAAGTATTGAACCAAGCGTTTTTTTTTTAAATCATTTGTTCGTAAAAAATAATAATTAATATAAATAAAAGTAATATAAAAAAACAAAATTTTGTTTTGTTTTTGAGTTATTCGATTTTTGTTGTCTAAATTGCGATATATGTAAAAAAATAATTTGATAGAGCTTATTCCATATCTGGTGGCGAACTGACAGTGATAGAAAAGACAATTGGAGTGCGCCCACTTGCTTAAGATAAAAAAATACATAGGCGTACTTTTTTTCTTTAAAAATTTTGAAGACAAAGATTGTTAGAAATATCATTTTTGAAAATTCTTTTCATGCGTTAACAATTTAATAATTTGTTCATTATTCTTCATCTTATGTATGAGAACCTACTTATTATAATTTTAAAAAAAATAACAGTGGTTTTGAAATATTATTTCATACGACGCCTATGAACAATATTTTTTTTTAATAGTAAACATATGTTTAGTGTCAAAATTCAGTCATTTTTGACAACGTCAGTTCGCCACCAGATTTGGAACAAGCTATATAAAGTAGATAATTGTAATCCCTTAGATCATGATCTTCATGAGAAAAATGGCTTTTTTGGTGGGTTGCCATTTAAAAAAAAATATATTTTTGTAGAACACAAAAACAAAATAATAAAAATTTCGATAAATTTTATTTTTGATAAAACATCACATTTTTATAAAACTTTATAATTTATCAATTAGTTGGTATAAAACGAATAAATCTTTCTATGCGGATAAGTAGTTGCCTGCAAATAAATTTTAGCAAAATTGTTTGAAGTGATGTGATCTGAAAAGTACAGATTTCTTATAAAGGGTTAATTAGTAGGTTATTAAAATGGCTTGTCTCACGCCAAACCAATGTATTTATTTATTCTTTCATTTATCGTGTGCAGTTCAAGATGACGAAAATACAAAGTTTAGTGTATTCGAGGATAAAAATTTATCCGAACTTTGATTTTTTTATTGTTAAAAATGTTGCATATCGATGCATATTTGGCATATATTGGAGCATATTTCTTAATATTTTGTGCATATTTTTGTCAAAATACGTGCATATATATGCGCATATTTTACGAATTTTTTGTGTCTATAATCCGAGCCTTACTTATTTGCCGTGGCTTTCGCCTCGGCAACTAAACACATTGTTAATGAAAAATACGAATTTTGGTGTCTTGATACATAAATAACTACGAGTATTATTGTGTACGAATAAAACAATTAAAAGTAGGTATAGTTTTCAATCAAAATCTTATATCCTTATTCGATAACTCTTTAAAAAAATATGGATCCGTTTAACACTAGTATTTATTGGGTAGTTTATTTGGTTATGTGTACAGCTAATTATAAGTGTACACTGGAACATGTTAATAACTCAATTCCGTCCGTTTAATTAAATGAGAGGAGATAACCTCCGACATTCTTATCTGGCCGAAGGCTCTTCGACGAAGATTATGGCGACATGGAATTCGTGCTGGGGCCCAGAATGCAATAAAGTAGCGATCGTGAGCTACCTTTCAAAAATCTTCGATTCAATTACAACAAAACGCAAAATACAGACGTCACTTTGAGCGAGTGTTGAACGGTCATTAATCACAAAGATGGTTCGATGGACGATGCAATGAAACAAAAGGATGCAGTAATTGTGGTCAACGAGGCTGGAGGAGGATAACGACATTATTTCACATAATAGACACACTAACAGCTTGTGCCAAGAACTGGAATTTTTCCTATATTTAATTACAAGAGCTGCAGACTGATAAACGTTTTATTGCACCCTAATGACTGGCGTATTTTATTAGGGTGTGATCGCGGAAATTTATGCCAAGTTCTACTTTAATTAGCTCAGAAAAATTTTTGTGTTGGGGCCCCGGAGCAGGCATTGTGAAGGTGCGTTTACCTATGTTGTGTCAAGTCGTGGGCAGCGGTAACAAGTTTTCGATACGGAATTGAATCGCTGCATACGATTATGTAAAAATGCGATCACCATATTCGATGACATGTCATAAGTTTGAAGCTGAAAGTTATTATTGAATTTGTGGTTGCGACCGAGCCTTCGATCATTATCGTTTCTTCGTTGTTGGGACCATCCACTGCGAGAGACCCAGCACGAAGGCGCGCCACTCGACTGGCCCATAAATCCAAACGTTGGACATCTGAGCACGGTGCAGATTCAAGTAGCCTCGTATCGCACATCTGCAAATAAACCCCCATGTTGGAGGAGCGGAACGTCCAAGTTTTGTCACGAATCGATTGTTTTAAACGAGACGAGAAGAGAAAGCAGCCACGCAAGGAGCCACCGAGAGACCAATGCTTTTCCCAAATGTTGACATTTATTGGCAAATTTTAAAGTGGTCGGGCGTAAAATGCCCCCCAAAATGCCGTTACAACACTCGCTCTGCCTCTTCGCCAAAACCCGTAACAATTGGAATAATAAATCAAAAAAAATCAGCGTTTAAACACACCTAACCTGTCTCAATAAATAAAATTAAACGTGTCTATTAATTTGTTCCAAGTGTTAAACCTGTATTATTTACGATGCTGTTGTTTCCTAATTAATTCTTTATTCAAATTTAGTCAAAATGCAAATGAATGGAGAAGAAAACACTTACCTTTGAATGTTGCATTGAGGCACTCCCAGAATGGACTCTGCAAAAGAAGGAATTCGTTAATTACTGGCTGTTTTAACTAATAATTTATGTCGGTTTTAGACCTACTCCAATGGAATTATGAGCAGAGATCGTAATTGAAACTAAGTTTTTGAGAAAAAAATCCTATAATTTTAAAGCTAAAATTCAAATCTTTAAAATCTAAAGTTAAAATTTTGAAAATTGTATTCTTTTAGTTAAGTAGTTCAACTATAGAAAATTCGATTGAAAGTCACAATTTCACAATATGAAAACCTAAACTATCACAATGTTGAGTTTAAAAGTCAGAATTACAAGCCTGATGAGTAAGAGGTGACCAATCGTCCTGATTTAGCCAGGACATGTTTAGGTTTTTATTGTAATGTCCTGTTTTACGTAGATGTCCCGATTTGTCCCGATTTAAAGACAAACAGACCCAAGTGTGGGTTTTTCAGATTTATATTTGCGACGAAAACAAAGTTAAAGAGTTTCATTGAATGTTAATTAGATGTAAATGTGAACATTGCGTTTGGTAGGTATCCTGAAAAAACTCAACGGAAAGTACTGAAACACTTAAAAAAAACTTATAATGAGCAAATTAAATATTAATTTGGCTTGCAGAAATTTAAAAAAATGTTTGCAGAGAATGAAAGGACTCTAAAAGCAATTCACACAAAAAAATGAAATTAACACATTAGATTAGGGTTCAAAAACTGTTTTTTGTTTTTCATATCAATATTTTACATACTGCATTCCGAGCTATATTCTTATTAGATTCACATTTTACATTGGTAAGACCTTTATTTTTATTTTCTGTTCTGAAAAAAAGTTATTATGTATAATTAATTATTTTTATTAATGTCCTGATTTTAAGTTTTCTGAAGTTGGTCACCCGGAGTGACGATCAAAAATCTGTGTTCAAATGTCAGAAGACGGAATTTGATTAACGAATCTTTGCGTTTTAAAGACGCAATTTCTATTAAAAGAAGATTAATTAATCACACATTCAACTTGAAAGTCGAGAAAAACTATAATTTCATTTTTACTAAAAAAATTTAGAATAAAAAATCATAGTTTTAAAATTAAAATCTTACGAGTTAAAATTCTGAAAATCAATATCGAGTATGTATATAAAAACCCGAATTTTTAACAATTTCTATTTTTTAAATAAAATTTCGAGATTAAAGTCGCTCGTTCAACTTGAAAATCAAGAAAATCAAAAAAAAAAAAATCAAAGAAAATTCAAAGCCCAAAAGCTTAGATTCTTATTCTAAAAGGCAGAATTCAGGAAGTTGGAAATTCAGCCGTTTTTAGTTTAGAAGAGTATAAATTTTATGTTCGAGAATAAAGATTTTAATTTTTGAAGAAAATCCTAGCAAAATCAAAATCACGACCGTATAAGTAAAAAAATTTGAGTTAAAAAGTAATAATTAAAATCAGTGGTTTATACTTAATAGTATAATAATCTGAGTTTGAAATTCACAATTTCCGAGTCTGAAAACCTAAATTTTGATTTTAAAAACTCGATTTTAACTTTGGAAATCAGAATTACAAGTTTGATGATCAAAAATCTGTGTTTAAAATGTCAGAAGAACAAATTTCATTATCCATTTTTTGCATTTCAAAGCCAATTTTTATTTAAAAAAATCGAAATGAAAGCCACACATTGAACGTAAAAAAAGTCAAAAACATGTAAATTCCGAATTCATATAACCGTATCTTACTCTCAAAGTCAAAATTCAAAAAATTTCAAAGTTAGTCAACTTAAGTTTCGATATTGAAAGTATGAAAAGCAAATTTAAAAAATCGTTTTTTGAGATTGCATGTCGGAAATTTCATATTGTTGGAGACTAAAATTCCTTTTTTTTTTAATATTCAAAAAGCAATTTAAAAATCTGCATATTGATGTTGAAGAGAAACAATTGTTATCATTTTGGAGAGAAACAATCGTTATCAGAGTCAAAATTCCGAACTTAAAAGTCAATAAACTGGCTCTAAATAATCTCCATGATCACGATATTCAAAAAAAAAATATTTTTTTTTCTAAAAACTCCAATTTAAAAATTTGAGATTTTAATTAGTCTCGACAAAATCTTATCTCGCTTCAAAATTTTTGCTATCAATTCCTGTAAAAGCCTCTCGGCCCCAGACTGCTCCAAAGCCATAATTTATTAGTCTACCTCACAAGTGGTTGTCGAAGACATATCCCAGAAGCTGCCCTCTAACCTCGACTATAACCCGGCCGTTGCTCGCAACCAGATGAAGTAATAAAACAATCCACGACAATAAATTGAAATATTTTATTTCTTCGTTATCTCCGATCTCAAACACTTAACGATAACGCGCGTGAAATATCGTAGGCCGTAGACAAGGAATTTTAAAAATACCATCGAGATGACATCCACCGTTATCTCCGCAACATCAATCAAACGTTTAGTTAAGTGACAAGAAACAAGAAGCCTTCCTTACCAGCTGAGGTGAACAGAATTTCCGTACTTCTTCCACAGTTTCGTTCCTCAGACGACTATCGGCGGCCAGTTGAGCCAAAGATATCTGGAACAAAAAAAACAACTCAATTCACTTCCACTCACTTTAATATCCACACCAATAACTTGTTTACTTTGGATGGCATAATAAGACACTCTCTTCATGTTTATTCAACATGGAACGGTCTTATTAATACGGTTATTAGTTTTACTAGTTAACACCTGGAGGAGGTGTTTTGTTTCAAAACACGACTAGAAAAATATGATGATCTGTAGCTTCAAGATAATGCAATTCCAACACTTCCTTTTGCTATTTCCAGTCCAGAGGAAGTCGTAACACTTGTCCTACTTGTTTACATCAGCTTAAATAAATCAGCTCCTGTAAAACAATACAAATAGCACTAGTGTTGAAATGACTTAATTCTGTTTAGACTGGTGCAATTATTTGTAAACATTCATTAGTTTCGACTTTAATGAGGGTGTTGGAGAGTCGTAGTACATAAGGTGCGTCGCAGACTTGTCACATAAATTCGAGATATCTATCTATTAGTGTTATTGCAACCTTGGTGCATTACCATATTTCCCGCCCTCATGAATCGCAAAAAAATTCCAAAGTTTTCGTGCTGGAAGCTCGCAATAAACGGAGATCGTTAAAAGATCATGAGAAGTTTTTAATACTTTAACACTTGTTAACCTCACAGTCCATAAATGTGTGGCCGGTTATTTATTATTGCGTGTGGAAGAAATTGCAAGGCGGAAAATTGGACTCGCACCTTTTTATGGTGACAATAACACTCTGCATGGCTGTAAATGATTTTTGCGTTTATGGGTTGGACTGTGAAAGTATCAAAAAGTGTGTGAAACAGTCATTTAATGTGGATGGGAAGAAGGGGTTCTTGTGTGAAGATCACAGATGGTTGAAAAATTAAATGATAGTCGTGACTCGTGAGAAATTTAAGGTTTTAATCACTTAAACAGCAACGGATTTACGTCATTTTAGACTAATGGTGGCACTTACTGGGCGAATGTGACGCATTTCTCTTGTTTAAATATGATAAAAATTTCATCAGAATTTATGCACAGAGACATCAAAAATTATTTTATGCAACTTTTATAATAATCAAAATTAAACTTCAAGGATAATATGTGAGATTTTTACGAAAATAATTTCAAAATATTTGCATTATCTACAATTTATTATTTGTTATTTGGTGTTAAAGTTTTAATTTCTTTGGAAAAATTCAGCGTCTAATGCAAGGTTTCTAAATAAAAAATATAAAATTCCAGTTTTTCTATAAAATTTTAGAAATGAAGCTCAAAAATCAAAGTTTGAAAGTTAAAATTCGATCATTCCGTCTTAAAAAGCCTGAAATTGCAAATTGAAAACCTAAATTTTAACCCTGAAAATTACAATTTTACAAGTTATTTAAGTTTTACAAAATAAAATTTTGACAATAGAGTTTGAAAATTTTTAATTTTAAAACCTCAATTTTGATTATGATTTCGGATCCAAAACAAAATTAATTAAAAAAAAAAATGTTAAACTGTTTTTTTTTTTCATTTTAATTAAAGCCGGCTAAAGCACTTGCTTTTCGGATGTAACATATTTTTCTTGATTATGATAAAAATACTCTTATTTCAATGTATCTATCATCAAAATTTCTACACAAAAACATACAAACATTATTTTTATAACTACTTGCAACTTTTATGTTAATTAAAATTAAACTTCAAGAATAGTTTGTGATATTTCTAACGTTTTTTTAACTTTTTTACTAAAAAAATTTCAAAATATATACATTATAAGTACACAATTTAGCAAAAAAAAAACACTACACATTTGGTCTTAAAGTTTTAATTGTTTGAGAAAAGTCAACGTCTAATGCAAGGTATTTCCATAAAACTTTAGAACTCAAAAATTGTTTGAAAGTAAAAATTAGCTTTATAGCTAGTTAATAGCTAGTAAGCTATAAGCTATAACTAGCTGCTCTATTCCCTTAAGCAGCAAAATTACGAATTCTAAATTTACAACTGAATTTTTAAAGTAAAAATCAGAAACTTGGATTGGAAACCTGAATTTTAACTTTGAAGAATGAAATTACAAATTTGAAAGTCATATAATTTCGAGTCTCACTGACAAAATTCTGATATCAGAATAAAATTTTGACAATAGAGATTGAAAATTTTTAATTTAAACATTTGAATTTTCATTTTGAAAGTTATAATTTTCATGGGTCATAAGCGAAATTTCAAAGTAAAATTCTTATTTTAGAAGAAACCTAAACTGTTTTTTTTTAATATTTTAGACTAAAGCCGACTAAAGCACTTGCTCTTTGAATGAGGCATATGTCTGTTGATTATGATAAAAGTACTCTTTAATACAATATGCCATCAAAATTTCTACCCAGAAAGAACAAAAGTTATTCTTATACTTACAAGTTTTATAATAAACAAAATTAAACTTCGAAGATAAATTGTGTACGAGTATGAAATAATTTCAAAACCGAAACCGAAAAACAGTATTTTTTGTGTTGCATTATCTACAATTTAACAAAAAAATCATCATGTATTTAATATATTTTTTTTTATTTCATTGAATGAAAATTTTCTAAATAAAAATACTAGCTTGAGGTTTGACTCAAAATGAAAAGGTTTAAAATCGAATTTTTGAATATAAAAGTTTTAGTTTGGACTTTGAAAGATATGATTTCACAATTGAATATCAAAATTCCGAGTTTGAAAGCCAAAATAAAGATTCTTTCTATAAAATTTTACAGTAATTGAAGCTCCAGTAAAAAAGAGAAATTGTGAATTCTAAATTCAAAACTTAATTTTAAATTTAAAATCAAAAATGTTAAATTACGAGACTCAAAATCAGTTCCGAAATTTTAATTTCAAAATTCAGACTTCTAGTTTTACACTACAGATTTCTGCTATAACATAACCACTTGATTATAAAATTTACAATTTCTAGTTCATTACAAAAATTGATGCAAAACTTTTATTTTAATAATCATGTTTTAAAATCATAAACTGTTTTTCTTAAAATAATATACAGGTGCGCCAAAACTCGCGACCCAGAGGAAAATTTCAAATATGATACCAGGAACATGTTTAAAAAATTCTATTTGACATTTACATTTTTTATGTCTATTTAATGCTACTGATGACCTTGTATATGTTTTTTTATTATTATTATTTAGTAAAGGTGCTAAAATTTTGCCCATAAAAGCCACAAATATCCTTAGAATTATAATTTAGGATACAGCTTCGTTGTTTCCTTTTCTAATAGCCTGTAGCAAAAAAAACTTGGAAAATTATTGTTCCAACAGAAATAAATAGAGTCAAAGTGCAAAATTTAAACTCACATAACTTCAAAATTTTTATAGATAATTTTTTTTCCAGTTCCTGGTATCTTACCTTATTATTCTCTGGGGCGCGAGTTCTGGCGCACCCTGTATAGTTGTTTTGTGTATTTTTTTGAAAACACTTAATTTATACAGAAAATTAGCACTTTTTTATTCATGGCATTTAAACACGTGGAAATCGCTGTTTAATTTAAAAATCTTGTAAATTTCATTCGTTTCATTGTTATCACTTTTGACATTGAAAAATTGAAGAAAATTTCGAGTCGTCGCTATCTTGTATCTCTCCCGAGGTGTCCCGTGCATGTAAGAGCCCCTCAAGGCCAAAAAAACCAATATGATTAAAATCGTCGTCTCGATAAAAGACACAGATAAATGTAAGATGGTCTCAGCAGGTACGACACCCTGAAGAGAAGCAGCAACACATCGAACGCACTCCCATCTGTCATGGTGTTTACCGACCTTCATCTTATTCTCTCAGCTTTTCTTTTGTTTCGTTGAAGCTAGTCAGTTGTCGAGGCCCTACCTGCTATTGAATAATTCAATTAATTATCTGAACACGTCTTAGTGTCCAGCACTTTACATAAACATATCAATTTTATTTATCGCGACAAGTGCGTGGGGCATTATACCCATCGAGGACTTGCACAATTCCCAACCAACGGAGGCGAAAAGAACAATTGTTGAAAAACACGATCAATAATGTATGAAAGTTGATGGTCAATAAAACTAGACTTGTCGAACGACAAATTGACGGAAAAACTTTTTCACCGGTTTAATTAGACAAGTGACTTTTATTGCCCCTGAACTGGGGATAATCGTGATAATAAATTCCTCCCAGGCACTATAAAACGCCCGATAATTCATTAAATCCGTTTCAATAAAAGGATACATTTCGCAATGTAAAAGATACGTATGTGATGGTCGTTTTTTACATGGATGGCTCGCTCACATGTGGAGCCCAGCGTGAGAAATACCATATATTTCTATGTTCTTGAGCGTCACAGCTTCATATATTTATGAGTCGTGTGTTTATGTTGATTTCGAAAGCTCTTTTATTTGTTGCAACTCAAGCCTATACATCAACAATTGACACAGAGAAATGCTCTTATGGAGTGTTTAGTGTATCGTTAAGTGTTTGTACGACAGTAGCTATAGGCCTAGGACATGCCAGAAACTAGCAGATGGAAAAGTTCGGTTATTTCAGTCGCGCTGAAAGATAAATGAGATGCATTTCCGCTTCTTCAACGAATTTAATCGGACGAATTTGTAATGCGATCTCAAATGCTCAACCAGTTGGCCAATGAAGGCAAAAACGCAAAAACCAACAACTGCATGAACCAAATTATAATATCACATTTTTTATAATTTCAAATAGTTATCAAGTTAGAAAATGAGTTTGTTGAGTCAGAGAATACTGTCTTTTCCAATTAAACAAATAAAATTACCAATTGAAACATTTTTCTCTTTATTTCATCCAGACGCCAAGATGAAATATGAGACGCTAAAGAAGGTTTGTATGAGGAAACGAAACAGTTTTGGCCTCCATTTATTGAAATTGAAAAAGAAAGTTATTGCAATTAAATCAAAAATATTATTTCACAATAGCAAGTTAAAAAAAAAGCTTAGGCAAAACATTTATTACAGAAAAACCAATAAATGTCAAAATGTAGTCCTTTATTTCTGTAAAACTTTATAATAC